TCAACTTTAGTTGATCCAATCAACTTACATGAGAAGGAGCAACAAAAAATATTCTCGAAGAATTTTGTAGTTCTTCAATGTATGTCTATCATTCAATGTACACATCTTTGGGATGATCAAGATATTCATGCCAACTAATAAAATTATTAATATTAGTAAACTTCATATTGAATATGTCATGTACCTTTTGCTATAGTAAATTTCTTATTTGTTACTATTATATAAAAAAGTTTCAACTTTAATACTCTGGAGTAAATTTCATATTTATTTTTCTCAATTAATCTACCTCTTCTAAAGGTGAGTCGTGATCCCTTCACTGAATAGACTAATCTGATTATCAGAAAATTGTGTATGTAATCGTATTATTTATGTCAATACTTTTGCAAACATCAAGTTGCGAGATAACAATATGCACACATGAGACCATCTAGAAGAAACATCTATTAGGACCATTAAGTATCTAAACATTCCACTAGGTGGATGAATAAGTCCACAAATATTTTTATACGTTCCTAGAACGCAGGACATTCAATCTCAACTTTCGTTTATGATGATCTCACAATTAACTTGTCTTGCTAACAAGTAGTACAAGAAAATTCACCATTTAAAAGAATTTTTAGATTCTTCCATGGATGTTCATTTTAACTTTTCATAATTCGTCTAAACATTATAGACTAACGATGTCCCAGACAATCGTGTCAAACTAAGAAAGTATTGGATTAGTAAACTTCTTATTTACCATAGAATATGCCTCAGTTGTATTGGATTAGTTAACTTCTTATTTACCATAGAATGTGCCTCAGTTGCACTAATTCTTATCTAATACAAGCTTGAAGATAAAACATGAAACTTTTTTTATAATATATGTCTTCTTAAAGATATTTTTGGTGATACCACATCATTGACCAAAGGTCGCAATCTTTCTCATGCCTAGCATGGTAGCTTACATCTCATTCCCTTTAGAGAATAGATTTATACTTTTAACATTTATCAAAAGTTCTCATTCTTGATGAATGGAACTCAAACATATGAGCATATCAAATTATGATAGCTTTAGTACCTCATTCCATATTTATGTGCATTATTAACTCACCTGTCTTCTTTCAGACATATTATGCACTATCACCACATTCACTTTACATAATGGAGCAAATTCAGTAAATTTCATGACTTCTCATAAAAAATACATTAGTTTTTCTTTAGTCATTATTATATCATCAATATAATGCATTAAAACTCAAATTCAATATCTTATCTATATAAAAGTGTTTTAGGTCATAAATCGATGGGTCTTGAACCCAATATCTTATCATCATGGTGCATTATGACTTTAACCCAATGTCTTACCCTCTTTGTACGATTGGACATAAATCCATCGTCTTATTCTTTTGGTGCGATAAAACTTAAATCTATCGTCTTACCCATAATGAGGCTGAAACCCAAGCCTTCCAATTAATTGTAATTTTATCACTTTTGATGATCATTAATATGATGATACATTATCAATTACACACAAAATTGAGATTATTGATTTATTTAATCAACATTAGTGGTTAATAAATATCGCTTAATAGATCACATACCTCATATAAAGGTTGAAAACATACCTTTCACTGAATTTTGCTTATTCAATTATTAAAATAAATCAAGGAATTCTCTTTCCAGTCGGTTAAAATTAAACACATAGAAAGTCGACAAGTCTCTTTAAATACTTACTTTAGATGATACCTCTAGATCTGTTACATAAATAATTATAACATAAAGATAAATCATACCTTAAGAGATATAAGAACCTTATTGCATAATTTATGCAAGATCTCTTTTACACTTTTCTCGTCTTCTTCATAATTCTTTAAGAATAAAACAATCGTGTTGATAACATGTTATGAAACTATATGAATTTAAAAAAAGAATAAAGTAGCGAGAAGAGAAAAGACTTCTTATTCATATATTCAGGATTCATAAATTTTCTCAAATCTTATTTACAATGAAGGAAACCCTTTATTTATAAGGGAAACCTAACTTGGTCCCCAAATAGGATTTCTAACCATATCCTTAAAGACTCCACATAATTAGACATTCACTATAATACAAATTGTTTATAACAAATTTCAAATTAATTTTATTTTTAGATAGTTAACTTATTTGCTTCAGTTTCGAAAAAGAGTTAGAAATACACCTCAACTTTAATTTATTGTTTAAATTACCTTCACCATTAAAATGAAGTTAATTTTACCCCTCATACTGATTTCACCAAATTTAACTTTCATTAGACGAATTGACTCAAATTGATCCGATTCTTTTTAAACAAATCTATTCCTTAGTTTGACTCAATAACCCAACTCTATTTAAAATAACCCGTCCTCATTCTTACAATGATAAGTCAAAAGATATGCCTCCTTATTGGCGATGAGTAAAGAAGATGTGAGAGAATGGGGACGAATTATTTTAAGTAGGGTTTGGGTTATTGGATCAAAATAAGAAATAAGGATTTAAAAAAAAATTCAGGTCAATCCATCTAATAAAGTAAAATTTGATGAAATTAATAACGAAAAGGATTAACTTCATTTTAACCGCTATCTAAATTTAAACAATAAATTAAAGTTAAGCTATTTTTTTTTGATGCTTTTCCTTTTCATTTTTACCCTTTACAAACAAAAAGCTATAGAAAAGCTCACCTGACCGACGCCGGCGCCGGCAAGCTACAGGTAACATCCTGAATTGTCTCTCTCATCGGCTCATCTCTGTTCTGTCAGTTCATTTTTCCTTGATTATTCCTTGCCGGCCACTGTGAATTGAATGCATAATTGTAGTTTCACTGGTGAAAAAATTTGTTTGTTTAGTTCTATTATTGGTGATTGCTATTTGGATTATGAACTGTTATTCTCACAGATTTGGGAAAAAGGTGAAAGCTTTACAGCATTTTAGTATTTAGGGAAAATCGCACTTGTTAATTTATGCCCATCAAATGTTCGACTGTTTGCGGAAGTTAGGTTTATTTGATGAAGTGAGTAACCTGAGGGCTAGGGGGACACTCTTAAGGATTTAGGCTATCTAGGAGGAATTAGGCTACTAAATACCTTGATTTGAAAATAGGGAGTTAAGAGTTCTTGGATATTAATGTAGCAAAATACACTCGCAAATAAAGCTACAAAGCTCAATTAGTTGTGCTCAAACATGTTAGTTATTTGCACCCTAAGGGTGTGGCATGAGGGTCAATGAAGTGGTTAAGAACTATGAGTTGTCAGGTTCGAAAATGACACTAGGTGATACTTCTCGTCTATAATACTACCCAGAGTTACCTTATATCTATTGTTGGTGGGAGGTGGGAGGTGGCAATTATCTCGTGGAATTAGTTGAGGTGTAAGGAAGTTGGTGGCAAACCACGGTCATAAAAAAACATAAAGTGTTCGTTATTTCCAATCTAGCTGATTTGAGCACGAATTTGGAGAAAATATTATCTACCGTTCTAGTTGGATTCTTTAATTACTTTGAATAATTAATTTTTGCAGGTTACTAACCCGCACGAATAGCGATATGCACCGAAAATATTTTTAATTTTTATTCTAACCCCTGTATATCTCTGAGATGAGAAACAAAAAGAATGCACTGATGATTTCATGAAATAATTGGCTAAGCACAATGAATAGGTTATGTCTATCTTTATGCACTAATTAATCCCCTAATGCCTAGGTTCAAGAACATGTCCTATTTGATCCTATTGCAATAAGTAGGAAAATAACATATTTCTTCGTACTAAACACACCCTAAATGATATCTAAGAAATGGCAGAATTAGGCAACCTTCTCAGTTCTCACTATCTCAGCAGATGGTTTCTTCTGATTTTTTATTTCCAGTTTTATCACATCAAAGAAAGTAGTAACTTCTTGGATAGTAATGTCTTCCTTTGGGCTGAGGCCCACTACGATGTGTTTCTTAGAACCAGAAATACATAGTGCAAGCCTCACTTTCGAAGAAATCTTGTTTTGCTCTATCCTCTCACTAGTCACTTCAACTCTTTCTACTGCTAATTATCTCCAACTTCTGTCAAATCAATGCCACAAAAAGGTAACTTTTTTGTCTCTCTTTATAGAGCTGAATAGTACTTGGGAAATATAAAGGGATGAAGAAACGGCTCCTAACTGATAGAAAAATAAATACTATGTGCAACAAGTGGAATAGGCAGTGTAGCTGCAAATTCCCATCAATAGAACCATTAAGAATGCTATAAGCTCTATTTGAATAACAAATATTTCTTTTATATTGTTCATTTGGACTTCTCTAATTTTATTTTTATGATTTGAATTTGAAGTGCTTAAGAAATTTCAGTGGCAACATAGACAAATGAGATTCCGAAAACATCTCTGAGGCATTCAATTTTTTGTTAATTCATCAATCAAAATTTCAAAGAAAAAAACGAATAAAGAAACCAAGCTTGAAATTGTGTGTTTGAAGTTTATATAATTTTTTTCATGTTACATTGTTAGTGTTTATATGAAATTTTTTGTTAGTTTTAGAATCTGTTGTTCTCTGATTATTCTTGTTAGTTTAGTTTGTAAGCTCTCATTCTCTTTATGTTTAGTTTAGTTTAGTATTTGTGTTATTTCTTATCTGTTCTTCATTTTGATTAAAGAAATTTGAATAGCAAAATATTAGTTCTAAAATGTTGGCCCTATTAGTTGTTGTGGGTCACGAGCGTGTAACTTGTTTTGAATTTCTCTTTATTTTATATTTCATTTTGAATTTCCCAATCTATTGTTAAAGTAAATACAGTAACTTTTTATATGTTTAGAGTATATGCTCAATCATCAGCTGCGCCATATTTCGGGTACAACTTTTACTTACCACTCATGAGATTAGTGGAGTTCCTCACATTGTAATGAGTTGAACTTGCAATTAGCTTCTCCTATATTAATCAAGTGTTAGTGTCTCTACATGCTAAGATGGTTGTAGTTTGTGCTAAATTTTTTACTTTTATGGTAATTTGCTATTTATTTCAGTTATGGAAGCTGATAAGTGGGCAAGTTTTTCAGAAGAAACTAGTGATTCTGAAGGCTACGGGGAGGATCCTGACGATGATGACCATTGTTGTGCATATGCATCCACTGATATACCCAAGTTGCAGTTCAGGTTTCATCTCATGATATAGATAAACTATTAAAAATAATTTTGATAAATAAGATACAACAATGTGAATAGGCGGTAATCTTTTTCTTCAGGAAAGATATCTCAAGATCACGATGGCTTGATCCATTAGGAATGGCTGAGGTCGTGGAGAGGAAGGGTGGATTGTGGACAACTACTGGGATAGTTCGTAATGGCAAGATATATTGCTTCATCGAAGAGATTTTGTAGGTGATGGAAATTCTCTCTTTGTTATCTCATGTAGTTGAAGAGTTAAATACTACTGACTTTGAGTACATGCATAATTTGAGAATAAGCCATGAGAAAATAAGAACGGTTACTTTCAGCATATTTGGTCAGAAGTCAAATTTCAGATCTGTTTTTCTTAACAAGACCTCAAAAAGAGGTATTATTTCTCTTGTTTTTCTGGTTGCAAAAGGAGAACATTGTATAGTTCAGTTAAGAAATTGGCAGACTTTTCTGATGATTGTTTTCTCATCGATGATTCTGAGGGCTGATTTTGGTATAGATTTCTGATACTCCTAGTGATAGTCTCGTTACCCCTCTGATGGTTATGCTTGGGAACTTTGGTTACATACTTGTCTACTGCTTCGACACGTTTAAATTAGTCTGATTAGAGAAGCAGTGTAAAACCAAATGGATAAGTTATATGAAGAGATAGATAACAAGTATAGAAAGGTAAGTTTTTCCATCTGACACATATAAGTATAGAAAGGTAAGTTTTTCCATCTGACACATCTATTGTATTAGGAACCAATGTGAAACATATATGTATCATTTGAGATTTATCTTCTGCAATTTCCAGTGTTCAAAAAATTATACTAATTTTTTCATGTAGATATCTTGCCGAAATTGGGGCTCTACGTCTCCTGAGTAAAGATGACACGCCCCTTTCTCTGGAACATGTATACAACAAGGTTGGAGAAGGAAAAAGTGGATGTTCCTTGGAATATTATGAAGCATATAAGCACTTGAAATCTCTTGGTTATATAGTTAGACGTCATGGTATTCCTTGGTCAGTAAGAAGGTCAAAAGTAAATTGTTTTGTTAACCAAGACACGCCGGAGCCTGCACAAAGTGGAGATGAAGAATCAAGAAACAGTGTTCTCATCTCTGAAATGATTAATAATATGCAGATTGGTGGATTGAGACTGGCCTTTGACGTTTACCCTCCTAATAGCAGATTCAGAAAGTCTGCTCCTGGTGATCCCTGTTTTGTACTTTGTCTTGCTAGGTATGATACCCTTGTTAATGTGTTCATTATATTAAGGTGCCTACTTAAAATTTCTGAATGGCCTCCTAGTATTATTTAGCTGATCATAGGAACTTGAAATAACTAGCTAAGCAATTCTATGGACTGTTTAAGAGTAAGATGGATTGTTGGATTGGATGGTATTCTGGAAAAAAAAAAGAAGTTTCTTTAATATTTTCCACTTTATCCCTCGCTCTTGCCCCATCTGATTTCCTCAAATCTTTTATCCGACTTCGTTGATCTACATTACCTATCAAAGTAGCTCTATTTTATGAGTGATGTATTTTCTTGTGCAGTGAGTATCCACCTTCCAAAGAAGAAATTGAAGATCTTGAGAGACATTCTCATGGTATTCCATTGAAATTCTGTCTTGTTGAGCATGGACGTTTGAACTTTTTTTCATTCAACAAAGTTGAGCTCCCTATCCTTCCATGATCCTTTAGAGCAACAGATACAAATCTTGGCATGTCCTGTGAAGAGCTATGGTACAATTATGAATTTTTAGTTTGTGGCTTGATGCTTAATCGTTGTGTAATCACGATACATTATTAATGAAACAGCAGATTCGTCTTCTTTGCCTTCAGCGCTAACGTACGTGCTGGGGAAATTTGCTTAAAACTGATCCATCTGTTAAGATGAGGTATGCCAGTATTTTACTCTTTGCCAGAGCCCAGAAACACTTTAATTTCACAACTTTATTAGTTTTCTATCCACCTCGTCAACTTCTAAAAGTTGTACTGTTATAAGTGAAGTACCAATTGATTGGTGTTTGCATGGTGAATTTTTTTTCCATGTGACATTATTGTGTGAGGCTCCTTTTTGTGAGACAAAAAATTGGACCCACGGAAAAGACATCTTTCTGTAGGGCATAGTTATGCAGGTATCCAGTGAAATAATCGAGATACATGCAAATTGACTAGTCGTTACCATCATTAGAAAATAAATGGGTCATAGCTGTGTAGGGCAAAAACCAGATAGATTGATGTTAATTTACACATGAATCTAAGATAAGACCTCTAATGTAAACAAGTCCATGATCATTAAATGGCGATGACAATCAACATGGGTTGTGGTGCATTGGTAAAATTGTTTCACCCTTAATCAAATGTCTCAAGTTCGAGTCTTGAGTATGGAGAAAATTATGTTGAGAGCGCCACACCCGAATGAATCCTGTAGCGTGTGATCCGAATTTAGTCGAGGCTTCAACATGGACTTCAGATAGATAGCGGATGATGAAAAAATAAAATTGGTGATGGTCATGGTATTGAAAGGCAATCAACATAGTTGTAGTCTTCATTAGCTGTATAAACATGAATTGACAGGTAACTTCTTTTTTCAAACTGTTTGAAAGTGAAGTTTGTACTGTAGTTATTTTTTCTTTGTTATTGGTGTATTTTAGTTCTTGAATTTGAGTCAATATTAATATTTAAAACGACATTTAAATGTTTTGCAATGGGAAGGAGAACTAATTTTGACTACTCAAGGTTTGTTTCACTCTTTCTGGGGCGGATCTAGAGGGTTGTTAGTGTGTTTTACGAGAGAACTTGCTTTATTCTTTTTACGAATGTGTATTGATTCTAAGTTCAAATTTCATGCATTATATTTTTTTTCAAACCCCCTTAGTAAAAATCTTGAATCAACTATAATAGTCGAGTCTTGGTTGAATACCTTCACTTGCAACATGTTAGAGAAGATTTTCAAGTTGATTGTTGCATCGATCAATGTGGTTATGTGGATACGTGATGACAACGGACAATTTATTTTATATATTTGTGTTTGGAGGAAAAATTTGCACATATAAAAAGTAAAATAATCTATCGTACTTATAAATTCTGAATTCACAACTCATTAATGAACGTTAAACCTCTTATCCCCCTTCCGCCCACCCCATCTCACATATGCACCTTATTCCCCTCCACCCTCACCCCTACAACACAATTGATATGTTTTTCTAGTTAATTGAACTATCACAATCTACGTACTTAACTAAATATATTTTAATTCATAAATAAAAAATTAACGTAAAACTCGCAAAAAATAACAATTTTAAAATTTTTTTCATCATTTTATATGGCGTCAACAAAACTATTTATGTTTGACTAGATTCATATCCTCAAAATTCCATTCATGAACCAAAGCATACAAAGTATTTAACATAGAATTCAATTTACACGAGGGACTCATTGAACTTAATTATAATCGAATATATAACTACTTTAATAAAAAACAAAGAATACAAATTTTAAATATGTTAAAAAACATGAAGTCAAGTTTCATAGATGCTTTGCTATTTTCTAAGCTTTCCCTCTTAGTTCACAAATTTAGTGAGCACGGAATAATTTATTTTGACTTTTTCGTAAAAAAGAATGCATGTTTTAAAGGTGATAAAACTTACTCATTAAAATATCATCCGTCAAACTGATCAAGTTTAAATATGACAATTCAACTCATTTTAACTTGCCAATTTTAAAATATTTAAAAGATTTCATGAGAAATATAATCAATTTCTTTTATAAAAGACTTTATTATATACCGTTATAGTAAAGAAAAAAAAACAAAATTATAAGATATTTACAAAAAAAAATCATTATTTAGTAATTGCGACCTCAAGTTATCTTTGGATGAATTAATTACCCATTCAATTCATTTATTAACTTTAGTTGATTTAATTTATTTAAATTCAAACTCAATTCATTTGTACTACTTTTATAATTAGTGTAAAAGTTAATTGAAAATTAGTTAAATTAACTTTCAAAAAGTATAATATAACAATTAAAAGTGGACAGATGAATAAATTGAACTGCGCTCAAGCTTAAACTAATTAGATGAATCATAATTTCACGAGTTAATTATATTATCGCTAATAAAACCTATTTTAAGTATCAAAGCTAAATTTGGAAAGTGGATTATTAGAAACCATACATCTTTAGAAATTTAAGTATTCTTTAGTTAGATGTCAAAACCAAATTTATTAAGTGTATAAAAAAACTTTTAAAAGCAGTCTTTTCTGTCTTTCGGCGTATACAAGTTTAAGGGTTTAATCATATGAAACATTATTGTCTTCTAACCTAAAATTTTAAATTTTTAAAATTAGTTTAAAATACAAAAAAAAATAAAAATGAGTCGCCTTAAGAAAATTAAGTTACTGAATTTTTTCAAAATCTATAAGTATAATCTTGATAAATCTTGAGACAAAACATTAAATTAAGTTGCCCATGTGTTTCATAGAAGAAATTTTTTAATCGTGAGGGCTTTATTAATATAATTTTAAAAGCAGATCTTTCTCTACGTATACATATGTTTAACAAAAATATCTATGTATTAAATATAAAAATTTTTTTAGCGTTGTTATATTTTAAGATTTTCTTATTCAAGATTATTTTAAGCATCTAAAATTTCAAATCAATAAAAGGAAAAGAATATAAAATTCTCAATAGTAATCCAATAAAAATTTTAAAATATTGTTGGCCTTAATTAATTACATTATTAACAACAAATTAGAGTTAACCCACTGACAAGTGATCCGTTTAGTTTGGATCTCGTCACGTGCAAATATGCTTATGGCGTATTGAAGCCCGTGACATATTACGAGACACTGTTTTATCGAAAATATTTTATCGTTCTTGTTTTTTTAATTTGATCGTCTTATTTTAATTATTTAAGAACTCTTTAATTTAAATATTCCATGTAATATATTTAATTCAAATCACATAATTAAAAAAGTATTTTATTACATTATACTATAAATATTACAATATTCGAAAACATTCTTTATTTTCTTATATTTCCATGCCTTATCAAATTGAGACAAACAAAACCGAAACAACAGTATACATGTATTTACAACTAATAAGCAAAACAAAAATAATTGATATATATGTATATATATTTTAAGAATTACATTGCATGGCATTATAATAAAATATTCATTTATTAATAATTACTTTTTATAATATAAGTAAGCTTATAAAAAATATTGCATACGATACTGATCATAAAAATATATTGAAAGATATCAAATTGCTCTAGCAATATGAGCAATGAAAGCATCAAACTCATTTTTTGTGACACCATTTTCTCCGACGGCATTCTTCACATCAAAACTCAACTTTTTTGCCCTTTTCCTCATTTCTTCTCCTTCTTTTGATGCCATTAAAATCCTCACAACCTTTTCGATTCTATTGAGCGTTACCAACTCGTCTCGTTGAGCCCAATCCTTAACGACCAACCCGACTTGTAGTATTTTCGTTATCAACACCGTGTTCCTAGGTTGATCCGAATGCATTGGCCATGCGGCTAAAGGAACTCCCATTGAAATACTCTCCATGCATGAATTCCAACCACAGTGACTCAAAAATCCGCCCGTCGAATTATGGGCCAATATTTCTAGTTGTGGGGCCCAATCTCTTACCACTATCCCTCTTTCCTTCACTCTCTCCTCAAACCCTTTTGGCGGTTCGATCTTTTTAGTGAAATCTTGTGAGAAAACGTTCTCTTTATCCGCATCTCTCAATACCCAAATGAATTTTTGTTGACTTTGTTCCAACCCTATTGCAATTTCGTTGATTTGTTCATAAGAAAATGAAGTTGTGGTTCCAAATGACACAAAAATAACTGACTTAGGTACTTGTTTGTCTAGCCAAGTTAATGAATAGTGTCTTTGTTGGGTGGGCCCTGAGATTGTAATAGGGTTAAATGGGCCTAAAGCCCACTGTTTTTTGCCTTTATTGATTTGTTCCTTAGATAGTAAATCAAGAAAAGGACCTTCTATGACTCTTGACGTGTTATAAATCTTGCCTGAATTAAACTTACTATACTCATGTTCGCGTCGAACAAATGTTGTAAATTCGGGGGTGAAGCAACCATCATTCGACGGGAGGTCTTTTATCATGTCAACGTCGATAGAAGAAGACCTCCCCATGCTTTCCCACACGTACAAAAATATTGTGAAAGCCGAAACGCTGTGGAAAGTGTAGGCTTCTGCATTTGGAATGTCGCGATAATCTTGAACAACTGACCCCATTAGGGAATCGTGGATGATAACAATTCTCCGCGTTTTATTATGTGAGAGGGAATGTAAAATCTTTGCAACGGGGTTTCTTAGGTTGGTGGAGATTTGAGAGGAAGGTTGAAGATGTGAAGGGAATTTGATTGATGGATTCGAGTTGTTGTTAGGTGTAGGAGAGTTGAAAATAGGGGTTGGAAATTCGTGAAAATGAATGTTGTTTGTTGATTTAAAACCATGAGCTCGAAAATTGACCTGACGAGTGTGAGTTGTGGTGGTAATGTAATGAACTGGTATATTGTAGGACGAAATGAGACGAGAAAAATGAAGAAGTTGGTTTAAGTGGCCTTGTGCTGGAAATGGAACCACAACAACAACTACTTCTTGTGGAAATTGGTTACCATTTTGGCTATGCATTTGGTTTTGGTTGCAAGTTGGGGCCATTGGAGAAGTTGGTATTGAGTTTGTTTTTTGGACTTGGGAAGCTATAAGCTTCATTATTTATAGGATTTGTAAATGCAAATATGGATATGTGGTTTAATTTTCTTCTTTTGGGTTGTTGGGGTGGGGTAGGGTCATTTTCTATGTGTGATACATGTTCCTTCTAATAATTCAAAAAAGTTCTTAGTTCAATTCTCTTCCATGTTTGGAGGTTAGGTTATACATCCACTTCTTCATATCTTCACCTTTTGATAATTAATATACTTGATGGGGGACGATAGCTTATAATATATGATTTATCTGATAATAGTTTACGTGATATCGATTTTTTTTTTTTTCTAGTGAAAGGTCTAGTAAAGTAATTTGGTATTTGAATTTTCATCATTGCAATTAAGTGCTGAGGTTGTGAAGGGTGAATTAAGTGGCAATGGTCCTCTTTTAGTCCTTTACGTGTGTAATACATGTTCATCTAGTACTCCTTTGGAATTGCGATGCCTACTATGTTACATTTTCTTCTATAATATGTAATTTATTTAACACGTGAATTTTATTTTATTTTTGAAAAGAAAATGTTTATTAAAGTAGCTTCTTAATTGGACTTTCTTGCATAATAATTCTGTACTGAAAGGTAGTGGGGATGTGAAGGGTGAATTAAGGGGCAATGGTCCTTTATGTTTTAATTAGGGGCGTATATAGGTCGGTTTGGTTTGATTTTTTATTTTAAAAAATTTAAATCAATTATGTCGGTTTATTATATCTAAAAATTAAATCAGGTTTTTTCGATTTTGATTTTAGTCGGTTTTTTTTTGGATTTTTTCGTTTTTTTCATTTTTTTTGTACAATTATATCGTATTTGAAAAAGCAATAAAGATTTTTTCACTTACCTGTGTGATAAATTAAACTTAGAAAATGTTAAGTGAATAGAAATTTTTGAAAAGACTGTCAAATTCACATGAGTACAAAATATTCTTTTTGAATATCAATGTTCATTATGCTAAACTAGTAAGATTAAAGGCTAGATGCAAACTGAATACAAAAAATATTTACAAAGTTAATTGTTAACTTCAAATTTGAAAAACTATAACAATATAATTATAACTTCGGATCTTAACCCAAATAAAATATTTACAATTTTTACAAGTCCAAAAAATAGATAAACATTGAAAACTATAAACTAACTTAAAATATATTAACAAAGTAGATTATATGTAAATAATTTTATCAATAAATAAAATAAATTTATATATATATATAGAGAGAGAGAGAGAGAATCACATTAGAAAAATATAAACTAACTAGAAATATATTAGCAAAGTACATTATAAATAATTATTTTTTAGCTATAAATAAAATAAGTTATATATATGTATATATACAAAATTTTACAAATTCAAATTTGTAAAAAATATATAAAATTGAAAATCATAAACTAACAAAAAATATATCACCAAAGTAGATTATATGTAGATAATATTTTTTATCTATAAATAAAATAAATTATCTATATATATATGTGTCGGTTTGATATGAGTTTAGTTTGATTTTTTTTTACTACCAAACCAAATCAAGAGTTGTCGATTTTTTTTTTCAATCACCAAACCAAACCACAAGTTATTTTCTTTGGATTTAATTTGGTTTGTCGATTTGATTTAATTTAATGATTCGGTATGTACACCCCTATGTGTAATACATGTTACTCTACTCTACTTCTTGGAATTGTGATGCCTACCATATTACAATCTTCAATAATTTAAGATTTATTTGATACGTGAAATTTAATTATTTTTTTTCGAGAAAGGTCTATTAAAATAGCTTGCTACTTTGTCTTTCACGCATAGTAATTAAGTATTGGGAGGAGTTGGGATGTGAAGGATGAATTGAGGGGCAATGGTCCTTTATGTGTGTAATGCATGTTACTCTACCTCTTGCATTGTGATGCCTACTACATTACATTCTACTACAATTTAAGATTTATATTGACACTTAAAATTTGATTTTTTTTTTGTGGAGAAAAGTCTATTAAAATAGCTTGATATTTGGACTTTCACGCATTGTAATTAAGTATCCAGAGGATTGGGGGGCAATGGTCCTTCATGTGTGTCATACATGTTACTCTACTTCTTGGAATTGTGATGCCTACTATATTACATTTTTCTATATAATTTAAGATTTATTTGACATGTGAAATTTGATATTTTTTTTTTGAAATTTTTTTATTAAAATAACTTGCTACTTGGACTTTTGCGCATCGTAATTAAGTGTTGAGGAGAGTGGGGATGTGAAGAGTGAATTAAGGGGCAATGGTCCTTCTTTATGTGTGTAATACATGTTCATCTTCTTTACTTTTCGGAATTGTGTGACCTACTATATTTTTTTTATAATTTATGATTCATTTTACACGTGATATTAATTTAACTTTTTTCAAGAAAAACCTATTAAAATAGCATGCTACTTGAATTTTCATGCATCATAATTAAGTGTTAAAAGAGAGCGAGAATGTGAAGGGTGACTCAAGGGGCAATGGTCCTTCTTTAGGTGTGTAATACATGTTTTCCTACTCCACTGTTTAGAATTGCGATGTCTACTAATATATAATCGATTTCAACTTGTTAGAAGCTTTCACCGTATTTAGATGATAGTTGGATAACATCTCTTTTAAGTTAGATTTTGTTGTATACAATACAATAAATTTGCCGACTTCGTAAAATCACGTGTATAAAATTAGGTCACGGTCCAATACCTAGCAAGATTTTCAATTATCTTAAATGGAGACCCCCACCCCCTCACCCCAAAGGAATATTTCATTTTAGGAATGATAGACTGTGATAATTAATATAATAAAATTAACTCATAAAAATATATATGATTTATTTTTATTCAAATTTGTTAGGATTATTGACTTGCTCACTTAATTCATTCAAGTTATTTCAGTTCAACAAAAAATAAGTTGATATATAGTGTAAATTAACTCATGAGAAATTTCATCAAAATAATTTTTTATTTGAAATGTTGTATATAACTGTGATAAAAAAAAAACTTCTTAAGTACTATAAATATTATAACGAACAAATAAAACAATTAAAACTTACACTTTGTGTGGATAGTCGTTACATAGTGTTTTATAATGTGTCATATTGTATTGTGTTGTATTAATGTAGTATATTGTTTTAATAAATGTAAATTAGATAGATTATGTTATCTTGTTTTAATATAACCCTAAAAAAGATAAGGTACAAAGTAGAGCTACTATTAAAAAATGAGGTAAAGGATAAAATAAAATTATTAAAAAATAAATTTAAAAAATTAGAATAGAATATTAACATAACCCTGAAATCACACCAAATTAATTTTTATTTTCATTTATTATCTAAGATAAATTTAAATGATACAATACAACAAAATTAAAACATCAATTAAAATAAAATATAAAATAACTAGATGTCTAAAATCAACATATATATATACAAATGAGGATCTTCAATCCGCCTATGTGGCATGCCTCAATGATGAGAAAAATATATATATATTTTTTTTAAAAAAATAGGGCTTTTTAGATTATTTCTTTTTACACAATAATATTATGTATATATATATACATGTATGTATGTATGTATATATTTAGGTCAAAGTCATATGCGGCCACTCAAACTTGTCCCGATTATTCATTTAAACACCTCAACTAGACGTACTACCTATTGAACACTTCAACCATTCTGAATTTGAACCATTTGAACATTATTTCGAGAATAAACAAAAAATAGAGAATGTGTGAAATACACTCGCGCTGACATGTCAATTTGACCAATCAAATAATGACATGTGTTATTTTTTAATCCAAAAAATTATTTAAACATTATATTATAAAGTAAAAAAAAAAATTATTTTAAAGTAAAAAAAAAGAAAAAAAAAAGAGTAAAACCTAAACACCTCCCTGCCTTCAACTGGAAC